GACTGATTCAGCCTGGTATTTCCTCCGGCGACAGGTTTATCCATCCTTGTAGGAGTATGTGTGTTGCTGTCCGTGACAGCTGTGCCCCTGTGCTCGCCTGCCACGGACACCCCTGGCCTGACAGTCTGGACTGCGATCGATTCCCCGCGGACGAGGACATGTGCCTGGCATCTCTTACAAAGGAATATAAACACTTGCTCAAAGGTAGCTGGAAGATGGCAGAGGGAAGGGCAGCCGTACTCTGGGCTCCTGGGAGTCAAGAGGTACAAGGGACACTGTTCCCAGACACTCTGTGATTTTGTAAACAGAGTCGCATCTATCCGCACTGCTTCACCGTTTGTCCAGATGGCAGGGAAGTGCTCGTGCTTGCCGTGTAAGCTGCAGCAGACCTCAGATGGTGTAAACCAGCATCGCTTCAACAAAATGAAGTGTAGATAGTCTATGCTCAGATAGAGGAGGAAGGCGATTATCACCCTGCACACAGCTATGGACAGTATCACACCCACGACAGCACACTGTATTTGATTTATTTTGAGGTCTCTTTATAGACTTATTCATGGCCCTTATCACAGAGAAACGGCACACCCGAATTCATGTATTCACAATCCTAGCGCAGCCGAACGCGGGATCACTGCCAGAACCACCCACCTAACCCCCTCCCCACCCACCTTAGCCATAGGAAAAACAATGATGCTGTATTCCATCTGATAATTGAACTTGTCAGTCTGAACAAGGACTGAATGGGCATGGAAAATGAAACTCCTCTTCATCCCTACCCATGTTTTCAGAGAAGTGTGCAGACTTTTACATTATCACTGACCAATTGTGTATTTTCTCTGTCATCCCTGTGGTTAAACAGTGAACTCTCAGCTTTGAGGGTAGAAAATTAATACAAAAGATTCTAAAAGATAACAATGCAACTTTGTCATTTCTTACCAGCCCTACCAAAGCCTGCCTGCCAGGCCTGCCCAGCAGTGGAGGAATTCTTTACGCACAAAAGAGTTCTCGAAGTTTTCTGTGACAGTAACTTTGGTAAGTCCTTGCTAGTATGGCTGCTATTAAAGAGACTAACAGTTCTCCTTCTGAAATGCTTTAAAATTAGGATTAAGGTAACTGACAGTTTCTGATGGGATTTCGAAGTCTTAATCCTAACGGTTTGGCTGCTGACCTAACTTTAGACTGTTTATCAGAATATGTTCTTTCTAATAAAAAAAAGAGGAAGATTTATTTTTCATGAAAGATCTAATGATCTATTTTACAACCAAATAGCTCTTCTGTTCTTGCCTATTTGGCTACACTGTAGTACAACATGCTTTACAGAAAATATTTCTGGCAAAAGCAGCCAAATAAGCAGGTTTGCCTTTTATTAGTGGTTAAACCCAAACTAAAGCTTTGGTTTCACCAGTGAACGGTGTGTTCTTGTTACTCGTGTGCATGAGTTGTTTGTGATACATAGCTTACTGAAAAGGAGACTCAGAAAATCGTATCAATAAAATATATATTTACCTCGTGTTGTCTTAGTGGAGTCACAGGCAATACTTTTGGGTTTGCCCTAGAAACTTCCTGCAAAGCCCTTTGAAGTCAGGGCAAAGACTCCCAGTGACTTCGGCTGGCTTTAGGTCAGGCGCTGTAGAGCAATTCCATGCTAAAAAGTGTTGGTGGAGTCAAGTGGGGTAGGTCAATGCCTGTAATGAAAAGGGAATATCTCAAAGGGTGGTACCTGCAAGCATTACTAGCTGGTTTTTGCTGAGGCGTTCATAACGTGGACAAAGTGAGTTTCAGGAGAATTGCCTGGGCAAGCTGGGCAGCCTCGGGATATGAGAACAACACCAACAGCTTACAATATCTAATTATCCACAGTGTCTAACATACATGGCAATGGTAAAAATACATTATTCACCTTTGTGAAAAAATTCTCCACAATTCCACGAAAAAATTCTCTAGTACATAACATACTTTTAAAAAAATATTTTAAAACTTATACTGCTGCTAGACAAGGCCTTGCTGTACTCTATCAGCATAAACTACAATAGTATTTTTAAGGAATCTTCCTGCTTTCACTGGTAGTGTTTCCTTCTGCATTTGAGTAAATAGAGTAACTTACATGTTTCCTTTTTTTTCTTTAGCAGTGAAAGTAAAGCTGTCCAAAAAGAGAACAGTATTTGGTGACCAAGAGTATAACATTGAATGCCAAGTGGAATTCATCACTCAGGGCTCACTCTTGCCTTATGAAACTCAGAGTATGATACAACAGTGGCTGCTAATCAATGAAAACTGTACGCAGAGGATGACTCCAACCCATCGTCCCATGGTATATCTCCTTGTGGGGAATATTGAAGAGGGCATCATTTTAGTAAATCAGGTTTATCACTGGCAGAGGAGGGACTCCCAGCTGACTTTGGCCACTCAGAAGTGGAGATACCACAAATGCTTGTAAATAGTTATCGTGTTATTTGTAAAAAGATGATTATACTTCTCATGCCAAACCTCTCTTGTAAATAGGAATGTACTATAAGTGGAATGTAAAGTCTTAATTTCCTTTTAAATTGTATTACGAGTTGAACTTAAACCCCCGTGTTATCAGGCCTCCTTTCTGTAGTGGTCCAGCTATTCACATCAAGTTCAAACTTGGCCAAGCATGTATAAATGTTCTTTGAGTTATTTCAAAAATATTCTGTAATATGTGCAAAAACTGGCATCAAACAGTTTCAATCCAGCTGACTACCTTTAATGTATTTTTCTATACCACCCGCTCTGCCATTTTCTCGAGTTACCTAAACCTTCCCTTGCTTAATGTTTCATTAATCCACTTCATTTTCTCCCATTAGAGTATTTTAAAAGAAGGCAGCCCTCTGCTGGTCGCTTTTGCTGGACTCAAGGTGGAATAAATAGGAATAAGTAACTGTAAGCACGATATGGTTGTCCCCAGCTACAAGAAGATTTGGTTACCGGGCATCATTTTACAATGACAGAGCTGACAAACATCTCAGTGGTAATGCCTGGGAGCATCGGCTAAATGTAGTTTTTGAAACTTTTTATTCTTGTGTGAGCACCTTGAATGTAACACAGTGCAACTGGAATCTAAATCACCTCACACACACACACACACTGACAGGTCCCTTTCCATTTTCAGAGAAGTTAAAAAAGCCAATGCAGAATCCTTACCAGCTGTCTAAGTGGGCTGCAGGGAAATAACGGAGTGATATTGTCTAAGAAACGTGAGATATTACAGCGGCCACACGATTAGCAACCTCATCGCCAGTGCAAGACACTGACATTAAAGACCACATGAAGATGGACAGAACTTGACTCAGTTTTAGTTTTATAAAGACGTCATATATAGTGTTATAAATATATCACATATAAATAAGAGAGACTCAAGAACAGGTAATCGAAAATACATAAATTAGAAGATATTTCAGTGATACTGTATCTGTTATGGCCATATTTTCTTGAAACACATATGGGAAAAGTTTGTGGTCTTGTAGCTTTCTAAAAGTCCCATCTGGAACGATCTGGGATCCCGGTAAGTCCCCGGTAAGCGCAGGTTTGTGTGCACGCTCCTGGCGATGCCTGCTCCACCGCTTTCTACCATCAACTGGAAAACTAGTAGGGACGGAGGGAAAAAAGTTGAAACGGCCTATATTGAGTTTCTGTCGTATAATGAAGTCACTGCTTAGAAAAAAAGTAGGTCGTTGGAAAGCTCGGTTCATTTGATCCTGCCG